TTCTTGTTGGAGTTTCTCGGTTTCTTGTTTTTTTTGCTGTCTTAAAATTGTTGTTGGTTAATTTTTGGCTCTCTCTCTCTGCGCTCTTTGGTCAGACAAACGAAAAAAAACCGGGCTGGATGGCTGGCTGGCTTTCGGGTTATTTGGCGTTCGTTAAAGTGGCGGTTTTGCAGTTTAATTTTAGCTTTCAGCATCAAAGGAAATCAGACTAAAATTTGCAAACGAAAAAAAGAAAAAAGAAATTGGAAACAAAAAATTTTAAATGAAATAAATCAAATTTAAAACAATAAAATAAAAAAATCAACACATGTGAATTGTTGAGAAAAAAAAATCATACGAAAAAAATATTTAAAAGAAATAACAACCACCATTAAAACTTTGGAACTTTTAATTCTTCGTCAGCCCGGTTCTGTTATAGATACCATCGTCTGGCTGGATATTTTTTTTTTCGTCTTGGCATTTTGTGGTGACCACTCAAAATTGCCAAGCATCCCAGCTAAGCGGCGAGCCAAGCATCCAGTTTTTTGGGTGTTCCCCTTTAAAGAAGTAACATTTAAATCGCGTAGCATTTGAAGGAGTGTGTGCGTGCGTGTGTATAATTTTTGATTAATTACTTCTTTGGCGGACATTGTCGTCATCATCAAATGGCGCTCATTCCAGTTTTGAATTTGCTAGAGAACAAAATGGAAATGCAATTTTTTAATGAAATTAAATTAAAATCGCTAAACTCTTTTGGAATTTTTTATTGGAGAAAAAAGTGTTCGAAACAATTATGGATTTACAATTTTTGGAAAGATGTTGTTACTTGACTGACTAGCATCATCCATGGATTTATGAAATAATGAATATAACATCCAGCCGAACGAACGTTATTGCCGTGAAAACTAATTCTTCGTTAAGTTAACGGATTTTCCAGCCAAAAGTTTTCAGAACAGAAAATGGTTGATCAAATGTAAGCCCAACTTGATTTGTTGTTTCACTTTTTTTTTGAAAAATTTCGTTTAATTTTTTGGTCTCTTGTTTCTTTTCCATATAGTCAATCAACTTTTTTATGTATTGACAAAATTTCCAGTAGACATTATGTTGTGTACCTGTGCTCCCTTGGCTTGTATGAAGCTTTGTGTGTATGTGTGTATTTATAACCTCAAATTCGTTGCCATTTTTCGAGGGACAAGTATCGAATATTATTTGCAAATATATTAAAAGAATTGCTTATCAACTGAACAGATATTGGAGGATCAGTATTTCATCAGAATTAATAAATATATGTCGACGAAAATATAAAAAAAAACTCCAAATGTTTAGACATAGATTTGAAACTCTATTTCATATAGTATATGAAAGGTTAGGGTTGAGCATAGAGGAATAAATGTAAGGAAAAGATAGACAATTTTCCAGAAGGGTGAAGGTAGGGTTTTGAAATTTAGGGGGATTATCGAGGTATCATTTTTCAAGATTTTGTGAAATTCTGATTTAGAATTTGTAACACACTGAAATAATAATTCTACACTCACTTTCTCTTATACCGATCTCTTATACCGAATCTCTGTCTCTTGATTCTGTGTCGCTGAGATCTTGTAATCACTTGGACATGTTGGCTTTTGGTCCACGTTTTATGGGACATCCCCACAAAAGTCCCAAAGGAGTACCCGATATGGTTAAAATACGGCACATTGTAATATTTTCATAATCCTTAGAAAATTGTCAGCAATGGTCCACTCATTCCTGTACCTCCCTAAAAAAGAAGAGGGATATTTTCTTCAAAAAGTTGTCAATTCCAATTTTTTTTGTCAGTATTGAAAATCGATTTTTTGGATTCTCGGGATCGTGTGTGTGTAAATGTTAAGGTTTTTGACTCTCAAAGAGTTGCAAGCGTCGAAAACATCAAAACATCAATCGCTTTACAAAACATTCACAAGGGCCCGCTGCTTCGTCAGCGAAAAGTCCACCTTAAAATTAAAGCTTCATTGCAACATTTTATGTTAGGCGTTTTTAGTACTCAAAATCCACAAGTTGTTCAGTTTGACAATTTTTTTTAATAAAAACTTCATACATTGTAATAAATTTGCTAACGTTTAAGGTTTTATATATTATTTAATTTTTTCCTTCCTTTACTATTTTGTACTTTCCGAACAAATATATTACGTATTTGGAAAACCACCTCCATATCTTAATACCAAATACCAACAGAGACCGCAATATCACCCAATACCAAATTTAGTCCAAATTTAGTACTTTTCGAACGAATATATTACACATTTTCTAAGCCAACTTCATATCCCCATTCCACATATCAACACAGATGTGAAAATCAAATTTTGAGGATTCCATACCTATCGCTTCAGCCAATACCAAAATTTAGTACAATTTAGTATTTTTCCTACAAATATAGGACGCATTTCCAAACCACCGCCAAATCTCAAACACGGTATCTATCAGCAATCTAAATATCAATTTCAGTCTTAATCCAATATTTAGTACGATCCAGTACTTTTCATACAATCATAGTATACATTTCCGAAACCACCTACATATGTCCAGGCCACACATGAACAGCGATCTAATCTATCAGTTCACCATAAATCAAAAACTGTTCCAAATGTAATACCATTTACTGCAGTTCGCACACTTATTACACATTTCCAAAACTAGGTCCATATATCAAATTCATTTTGCAAACTTGATTCTCTCATACCAAATTTTATGTTTTTAGCTATATTCTTCACATAACCAAATGGTACCATTTTAGAAATTTAGTACGATTTTAGAACTGTGTGTTCGAATTTTCAAAAAAAAAAAAAAAAAAAAATGTACATTTATTGACTCTAATTTCAAATTTCTCTTTGTCTAATACAAAGTTTTTAATTATACCCTCGGTCATGGGACTAGAGTTGGTATATATCATTTGATACGGCCAAAACGTGCCTCATCGAAATAACGGTTTTAGACCCTAGGTCTCTTGGGAAAAAACCAATTCAGGACATTTAAAGTTGATCTAGCGATGTCAGTCCGTGTCTGTCTGTCTGGCTGGTGCGCACGATAACTCTCGAAGGGAGTATTCAATTTCGTCCAAACTTGGTACATCGTAATTTTATTGAGATCGAGTTCGGAGATGGGCAATACGGCCCACTCCTTCTCGTACCTCCCCCACAAAATGTCAACGTTTTCAAAGAAAATAATTTACTGCACAAAAAGAGAAAGGATTATTCGATTTTGCTCCAACCTTGCGAATCTAAATATTTTTATCAGTGCTAGGTCTGTTGCGAAGAAGACAATATCGGTCCTAGCTCCTCCACAAAGGGTCGAAATTTTTGACTAATTATAACTTTTATATTTACAATTTACACATGTCACAATATTTATAATAACCCAAGGTCTGGTGTGAAGCTGGACTATATCGGTCCACTCCTTCTGATACCTCTCCCACAAAGGATCAAATTTTTGAATATTCATAAAGATCATAAAACTCGAAACCATCATTCTATTCCATTCAGACATGGTACATCTCAATATTTCCATCAACACAAGATATTTTTTAAAGATGGTCGGACCATTCCTTCTGGTACCTCCCCCACAAAGGGTCAAAGTTTTGAATAACCAAAACTATCAGAAAATTCGAAATAAACTGCCGGTTCTCTTAAAATTACACACATCACAATATTTTTATTAAACCAAGGTCTGGTCTGAAGATGGGATATATCGGTCTACCTGATACCTCTCCCAAAAACGGTCAGAATTTTGAGTATGCGTGAAGCTCATAAAAGCCGAAATTTACATCTGACGACTCCATTCAAATTTAGTACATCTCAATATATCTATCAACACAACATCTGTTATAAAGATGTTGGAGATCGGACCATTTTTTTGTTACCTCCCCCACATAGGGTTCAAGATTTTGGAAAACAAAATGCTCCAAGAAAGCGAAATAAGTCTCCAACTCTCTCTCTCTCTCTCTTCAAATTTCACATATATAAACATTTTTGCTAATACAAAATCTGTTTTGAACATGATATGTATCTGCGAACAGCTTCTGGTACCCCACTCACAAAGGGTCACAATTTTCAATTCGTTTATTTGTCATAACTTGCCAAAAAATCAGCGATTCTTTGCAACTAGCTACATCTAAATATTTCTCTCAACGAGATGTCTGATATGAATATGTAATTTATCGAAATGTATGATTTCGTATAATATTGAATATAAATGTTCGATTTCCTTCAAATATTTTTTATCTGTATTAGATGAAGTATGAAAATGGAATGCTGCTACCTCACACATTTTCCAAAAATGTACACATATCTCAGGTAAAGTATAGGAAGTAGTCGATATAGTCCAAATCTGGCATGTTGTAATATTTATATCAGTCTTAGGTCAGATTGGTAAATATTGTCCAACTGCTTTCATGGGTCAACAGTTTGAATAATCATAACTCTGTCGGCAAAACCGACTGATATTATTTTACTTGCTTTTTTTTTTTGAAAATTTCGATCTTTTGTGTGTTTGGTACCAGAAGGAGAGGACCGATATTGCCCATCTCCGAACTCCATCCAAGTTTGACAGAAATATTAAGATGTACCAAATTTGGACCAAATCGGATACTCTCTTCGAGAGTTTTCGTACGCACCAGCAAGATAGACAGACGGACGGACGGACGGACATCTCTTAATCGACTCCAAATGTCCTGATACGGACTCGGTCCAAAGAGATCTTAGGTTTCTAAAGCGTTATTTCGACGAGGCACGTTTTGGCCGTATCAAACGATATATACCCCCTCTAGCAGTATGGCTGAGGGTATAAAAACACTTTCATCCTTTAAGCTCGAAGAGAATTTTATTTAAAATGATGAGGCAAGTTTGTGGATGAATGGAAGATGTAGAGGAGTACAGGAAAGTCTTGGTATCTGATATATTGGTCTAACTCGAACCAATATTAATTTTAATTCGAAATATATTTTATTCCAAATAATTGACTAATAAGATTTCTTTATTATTTATTTTCAGATATAACAGAAAGTCATTGTACGGTATGTATTTTATATGGATTCAAAAATGAAATTTATTCAATTAAAAAAATTGTCAACAAATTGTCAAAAAATTGTGTTTATAAAGTAGAAAAAAATGGAAAAGTTATTAGAACCCCAAAAGGTGAACTATGACTGCTTAAATGCATTCAATACTTAAATCACTATACGTTCCATTTCCAGTTAATCTGAACATTTAACGTTTGGTTATTTTGCCCAAAAAAAAAAATCTTTCTGCGCCAAATGGCATATCAATTTAGTAATAACTTAGATATAGAGTCAGAAGCTCAGATTTCTTTATTGAAAATTTCCTTCCGATTATTCTGCCTCGCTTTTTATTAAATCAACTGGCGTTGTACTTATTTCTTCATGTAGCGCCTAAAAGTATGCCCTGTGCAAAAATCAAAGATTAAAGTATATAAAGTACGATAATATATTTAATGAAGGAGCATTTTGAGGAAAAAAATCCAGAATTAAAAAAAAGGATATTCACCTTCACATTTCATATAATTTTAAAGATTGTAGCTTCTTAAAGCTACCTTTATTATGGTTGCTTATGCAGGGTAGGTCCTACATACTCACTTCTTCTTGAACAAGTGATCAATGCTTCATTAATTTCGAAAATAGAGTAATCAACACACATTTATTAAAAATTTTATGCTGAGCTGTAGCAAAAAAAAAAAATCTCCAAAAATGTTTAATGCCTAAAAAATGTAACGACATTAAATGAATTTCCTTTCATATTTTTTTGGTTGTTCTTGTTGGTCGTTTCTTTTTTTAACCGGCAAAATGTGCAAATATTTTCCTTACCTTGCTTTTTTATATAATCTCTTGCACGTTGTTGGTGCAGCAGTAATCACACTGCACCGCACCACATAAAACTAAAGTCCAAGGAATTGCAAAACGACAGAGGAAAGGAAGGAGAGAAAAAAGACAAAACCCCCGAAACCTGAATGGCTGGTTTAACAGCTTGTCAGACTCCTTATACCCTTTCATAACGAGTTAACACAGCGATGCTGTGGCTGCGGCCACTGCAGCACGGCTAATGGTGCACAAGCCGCCAATGGAGTCGGCGACATTTATTTGGGGTTCCTTTTAAATTGCGGTGCTGCACTGCGCGTTTCCTAAACTTAACCAACCACTCGTTGTCTGTCATATGTTTGGGTGGCTGGCTACTCGGTTGGCTGTTAAGGTAGGCAATGAGAATCATTGTTGGTGTTGGAATTGTTAGCAGAGATGTGCTGTATGGGGATTTTTACTATTTTCTTAACATTGAAGACCAAAAGGTTTTCTTTTCTGGGAAGACCAGATGGTCTTTCTATAGAAGACCGAAAGGTCTTCCTATAGAGGACCGGAATGTCTTCCTATATAAGACCGAAAGGTCTTCCTATAAAAGGCCAGGAGGTTTTCCTATGGGAAGACCAGAAGCCTTCTCATTCGAAGACCAAAAAGTCTTCTCATAGAAGACCAGAAGGTCTCCTCATAGAAGACCAGAAGGTCTCCTCATAGCAGACCAGAAGGTCTTCTCATAGAAGACCAGAAGGTATTCTTCTCAGCGAAGACCAGAAGGTCTTCATATAGAAGACCAGAAGGTCTTCCTATAGAAGACCAGAAGGTCTTCTTATAGAAGACCAGAAGGTCTTCTTATAGAAGACCAGAAGGTTTTCCAATAGAAGACCAGAAGGTCTTCCTATAGAAGACCAGAAGGTCTTCCTATAGAAGACCAAAAGGTCTTCCTATAGAAGACCAGAAGGTCTTCGTATCGAAGACCAGAGGGTCTTTGTATCGAAGACCATAATGACTTCCTATAGAAGACCAGAAGGTCTTCTCATATAGAAGACCAGAAGGTCTTCTCATATAGAATACCAGAAGGTCTTCTCATAGAAGACCAGAAGGTCTTCTCATAGAAGACCAGAAGGTCTCCTCATAGAAGACCAGAAAGTCTTCCTATAGAGGACCAGAAGATCTTCCTATAGAAGACGAGAAGGTCTTCCTATAGAAGACCAGAAGGTCTTTCTATAGAAGACCAGAAAGTCTTCCTATAGAAGACCAGAAGGTCCTCCTATAGAAGACCAGAAGGTCTTCCTATAGAAGACCAGAAGGTCTTCCTATAGAAGACCAGAAGGCCTTCCTATAGAAGATCAGAAGGCCTTCCTATAGAAGACCAGAAGGCCTTTCTATAGAAGACCAGAAAGTCTTCCTATAGAAGACCAGAAGGTCTTCCTATAGAAGGCCAGAAGGTCTCCTCATAGAAGACCAGAAAGTCTTCCTATAGAAGACCAGAAGGTCTTCCTATAGAAGACCAGAAGGCCCTCCTATAGAAGACCAGAAGGTCCTCCTATAGAAGACCAGAAGGTCTTCCTATAGAAGACCAGAAGGTCTTCCTATAGAAGACCAGAAGGTCTTCCTATAGAAGACCAGAAGGTCTTCCTATAGAAGACCAGAAGCTCTTCCTATAGAAGACCAGAAGGTCTTCCTATAGAAGACCAGAAGTTCTTCCTATAGAAGACCAGAAGTTCTTCCTATAGAAGACCAGAAGGTCTTCCTATAGAGGACCAGAAGATCTTCCTATAGAAGACCATAAGGTCTTCCTATAGAAGACCAGAAGGTCTTCCTATAGAGGACCAGAAGATCTTCCTATAGAAGACCATAAGGTCTTCCTATAGAAGACCAGAAGGCCTTCCTATAGAAGATCAGAAGGCCTTCCTATAGAAGACCAGAAGGCCTTTCTATAGAAGACCAGAAAGTCTTCCTATAGAAGACCAGAAGGTCTTCCTATAAAAGGCCAGGAGGTTTTCCTATGGGAAGACCAGAAGCCTTCTCATTCGAAGACCAAAAAGTCTTCTCATAGAAGACCAGAAGGTCTCCTCATAGAAGACCAGAAGGTCTCCTCATAGCAGACCAGAAGGTCTTCTCATAGAAGACCAGAAGGTATTCTTCTCAGCGAAGACCAGAAGGTCTTCTCATATAGAAGACCAGAGGGTCTTCTCATAGAAGACCAAACGGTCTTTCTTAAGAAGACTAGAAGGTCTTCCTATAGAAGACGAGAAGGTCTTCCTATAGAAGACGAGAAGGTCTTCCTATAGAAGACCAGAAGGTCTCCTCATAGAAGACCAGAAAGTCTTCCTATAGAAGACCAGAAGGCCTTCCTATAGAAGACCAGAAGTTCTTCCTATAGAAGACCAGAAGTTCTTCCTATAGAAGACCAGAAGGTCTTCCTATAGAAGACCAGAAGGTCTTCCTATAGAAGACCAGAAGGTCTTCCTATAGAAGACCAGAAGGTCTTCCTATAGAAGACCAGAAGGTCTTCCTATAGAAGACCAGAAGGTCTTCCTATAGAAGACCAGAAGGTCTTCCTATAGAAGACCAGAAGCTCTTCCTATAGAAGACCAGAAGGTCTTCCTATAGAAGACCAGAAGTTCTTCCTATAGAAGACCAGAAGTTCTTCCTATAGAAGACCAGAAGGTCTTCCTATAGAGGACCAGAAGATCTTCCTATAGAAGACCATAAGGTCTTCCTATAGAAGACCAGAAGGTCTTCCTATAGAGGACCAGAAGGCCTTCCTATAGAAGATCAGAAGGCCTTCCTATAGAAGACCAGAAGGCCTTTCTATAGAAGACCAGAAAGTCTTCCTATAGAAGACCAGAAGGTCTTCCTATAAAAGGCCAGGAGGTTTTCCTATGGGAAGACCAGAAGCCTTCTCATTCGAAGACCAAAAGTCTTCTCATAGAAGACCAGAAGGTCTCCTCATAGAAGACCAGAAGGTCTCCTCATAGCAGACCAGAAGGTCTTCTCATAGAAGACCAGAAGGTATTCTTCTCAGCGAAGACCAGAAGGTCTTCTCATATAGAAGACCAGAGGGTCTTCTCATAGAAGACCAAACGGTCTTTCTTAAGAAGACTAGAAGGTCTTCCTATAGAAGACGAGAAGGTCTTCCTATAGAAGACGAGAAGGTCTTCCTATAGAAGACCAGAAGGTCTTTCTATAGAAGACCAGAAAGTCTTCCTATAGAAGACCAGAAGGTCCTCCTATAGAAGACCAGAAGGTCTTCCTATAGAAGACCAGAAGGTCTTCCTATAGAAGACCAGAAGGCCTTCCTATAGAAGATCAGAAGGCCTTCCTATAGAAGACCAGAAGGCCTTTCTATAGAAGACCAGAAAGTCTTCCTATAGAAGACCAGAAGGTCTTCCTATAGAAGGCCAGAAGGTCTCCTCATAGAAGACCAGAAAGTCTTCCTATAGAAGACCAGAAGGTCTTCCTATAGAAGACCAGAAGGCCCTCCTATAGAAGACCAGAAGGTCCTCCTATAGAAGACCAGAAGGTCTTCCTATAGAAGACCAGAAGGTCTTCCTATAGAAGACCAGAAGGTCTTCCTATAGAAGACCAGAAGGTCTTCCTATAGAAGACCAGAAGCTCTTCCTATAGAAGACCAGAAGGTCTTCCTATAGAAGACCAGAAGTTCTTCCTATAGAAGACCAGAAGTTCTTCCTATAGAAGACCAGAAGGTCTTCCTATAGAGGACCAGAAGATCTTCCTATAGAAGACCATAAGGTCTTCCTATAGAAGACCATAAGACCATATAGAGGACCAGAAGATCTTTGTATAGAAGACCAGAAGGTCTTTGTATAGAAGACCAGAAGGTCTTCGTATAGAAGACCAGAAGGTCTTCATATAGAAGACCAGAAGTTCTTCGTATAGAAGACCAGAAGGTCTTCATATAGAAGACCAGAAGTTCTTCCTATAGAAGACCAAAAGGTCTTCTTATAGAAGACCAGAAGGTCTTCCTATAGAAGACCAGAAGGTCTTCCTATAGAAGACCAGAAGGTCTTCCTGTAGAAGACCAGAAGGTCTTCCTGTAGAAGACCGGAAGGTCTTCCTGTAGAAGACCGGAAGGTCTTCCTGTAGAAGACCGGAAGGTCTTCCTGTAGAAGACCGGAAGGTCTTCCTGTAGAAGACCGGAAGGTCTTCCTGTAGAAGACCGGAAGGTCTTCCTATAGGAAGCC